GAGAAAACTATGCCAAGAATGCAATTACTATTGGGACAAAAACAGTACATGCTAATCATTTTTTATTAGTGCAGTATAGTAATAATTTTTAATTTTAACTTGTTTTTAAATACTAAAGGTTAAAAAAAATTAAAGTAGTAAGCATAAATTTTGCTGAAGAGAACAAATCATACAAAGAACCAGGGCTGCGGAGTCTGTAAAAAAACACTTGACTCCGACTCCTGATAATTTTAGTAGGCTGACTCCGACTCCAAATCAGAGGTGCTCATACAGGGTTACCCTACTCTGAACTCTGAAAGGGGACCCGGGCATTTACCCAAATACTTTTATAGTTAGTATTTTTATTATTTAACTTTTTAATCAATATTTATATTAGTCAATATTTATTCATATAAAAAAATTAATTTTTAACAAATATTTAATAAGAGGAAAAAGGGGGAGCGATAAAATTCTACATCTACATATCTTTATTCTACAGCTTTTGCACTTCAATTTCACCTTTCCAGAAAAATTTGTCCAACTAAAAAGTATGTGATCTAGCTANTTTCGGGCATCATCAGTGGCCGAGTGAATAAAACCACTGAACACTGGTAGGTCGCAAGTTCGTGTTGAGTGTTGAGCCAATTTGCAAAAAGAAATAAAAAGTTGAAGCTAATTTAATTGAGTGTAGTGTACCGCGGCCCGCAATTAATCTCTGAATATTGGACTGAACTTCAAATAATTGGTTGAATGGATCAGCGATAATTCTGTACAACTTGACAATGTGAAGTTATAGAAAATTGAGAATTTCCGATCCTAAAAAAAATGTCAACAACGGCTTTCTGTGCCCAATGTGCAATCTTTTCTGTGAAATTTCCTTTAATCATACGATAACGTATGATTAAAGAAAATTTCATATTTTATGTGTGTTAAGTTATCGTCGATTCTTATGGAAATTTCATTTTAATGAACAATAATTTGAAATAATTTAATTTTGTGTCAGGTTGGCCTCTACTATGCCCCTATAACAAAACTCTGGCTACGCCCATGGTTGTTGAGTTTGGACTTCAAGGATACCACGTCACAACGAACCATTGTTTACTAAATTTCTATTGGAAATACTCTCTAACTGGGAGATCCAGGAAATTCTTACAAACTGTGGAGTCTCTGTGTGAAAACAATACATAAGATAATGAATGTTTCCAAACATTTTTTCTTTATTTTGGTTAATAATATGAAATACTAATGAGCAGCAAATCCTCCACTTTTTCTCTCCCGGCTGTTAAATATAACAGAGGAAAAGTATGGTCAAAAAATTCCCTGAGACCAAAATTTTTACATTTTTGGTCTCAGGGAACCGTAAAACGCCGAGAAATCCAAACATTGGTATTTTTCCTGTCTGTCTGGACGTTGGTGTACGTTAGTGTATTTGGGGCGCGATTTTCTTACCCTCTTTGAAGCTTAATAACTTCTGTGCTTTTTAATAATACTATAATCATCATCATCAATAGCAACACACCTAATTCTTATAATTATATAGATAGGTAGTTTTTGGAACTGACTATGCAAATTGGAAAGTCAATTCCAGAAAATTCCTACAGTCATCAAGCATTAAAAAATCATTTTAAGTAGCAAGATGAAACATTCATGCAAGAGTTTTATGTAACACATTAAACAAAACAATAAATGATTATTTTTATTATACAGAGTGACAAATAATATATGTCAAAAAGTAAAGTGCTATACCTTTTTAATGAATAAACAGATTTTAATCAGACCAAAAGCATATTATACAGTATTAAGTTCATTTTAATGGTAGATATTTTCAAAATGCCCCCATCTGATTCAGCACAAAATTTAAGCCTTTTTCAAACCCCTGAAAAACCCTTTCTAGTAAATCACTTTTAATAGTCTTAACTTTTTTAATTGTAGTCTTTAATTGTTCTGCATTCTTTGACTTTTCCTTGTAACATTTGACATCTTCAATATAACTCCAGAGAAAAAAAATTCACAAGAGTTTAAGTCAGGACTGTAAGGAGGCCATTGAATCCCACTACCCACAAATTTTGGATAACTTAATCCTATAACACGATCTTGATACTTATTGAAAATACTTTCAAACACATCCTGGGTGTAGTGGGAAGTATCACCACCTTGCACAAAGTGATATTTCTGGAAAAAATAATTTTTCCTTGTCCAAGGTTAAATTTGGTCTCTGAGAAACATTTATATATGGGACCTGTGATTGGAATCTCAATGAAATTTAAGTACACAGCATTCAATGTAATTGCTGCTCATGCTGTGATCGTCACTGCATACAATGGTTTGAACACAGTGACTTTGGATTCAACATTCCCCAAATTCAAAAGTTTTGCTTATTAACATAGCCATCAGGATGAAAATGTGCTTTGTCCTCGAATATTATCTTATTGGCATCTAATGTCAGACTTGCAAACATTTCCATAATTTTATTAGCAAAGCTCACTCAAGTTGCCATTACACCATGGCTAAGTTTATGATGAATGTGTGAAGGTCCAAAACCCTTTTGTTTTAGAACAGTATCACCCCTCTAATAAACCTCGTGATTAGGCAAAAAGGGAAAAAGGGGTCTTCTGTGGTCAATGACCAAGACAATCTTCTCAAAAAAAATCGTTAGTATATCAATAAAGGAAATCTCCTCCATTTGTTTAAAGGTAATTCTATAGACGTTAATATCAACACGACAGGAATAAGAGATGTTTCTTACCCCCTCTATGGTTGCATGTGACACGTGGTTACAGCAATAAATCAATCGCCTCATTTGTAGTCAAACGCAACGTTCGATATAAACAATATCTAAATTGTTGACCAGTTTACAGAAATTATTGTCAGCTGAATGTTAATTTATGGATGAGAGCTGTCAAACCTATAGAAATTTATATTATAAAATCATATCTTCTAGACAACAATATCAATAAATTAAACAAACTTCTCTGTGTCAGTTGTCTGGACTAACTGGTGTGCATATAAATCATTAATAATGTCATAGTTCTCATCCCTTCAAATTTGGTATAAAGAGGGCTCATGGCCAGTTATCGGTGTGGCCTTCAAGACATCAGAAAATGACGGACCAACTGCCTTTAAACACTGACCGCTGACGACAGACGACTAAGCAAGATTCTACTATCTACAACTTAGTAAGTAGAACTCTCTCTTTTTTCTCAGATGGACTAGGGCCAATTAAGAAATAAATATTAATGAGGATCAGAGACTCTCCTCTGTTGGAAATATGGAAATACGTGAGACATAATCCAGCTAACCACCTATTGGAGCTTCAGTTTGAAATTGTTATTATTAATCTTATTATTTGTATCCTTTTTGTATAGCATTTACTAATTAAATTTATATAATATCTTAAACATGTGTGATTACTCGTACACGGCCAACACCTTATAGACTTATCCGCGACCTCCCACTCGATTTTCGCTCTCCTAAATTGCCATCCACTGACCCTGTGAACAGGATTCACCTTCCCATTGTCGGAAAACAGTTTAAGCTTTGACAGAAGCTTAAACCCCGATTCTCACAATTTTGTATTTAAAATAAATGAATTATAACAAAATACAAATACATTTTAAAAAATTAATAAATATAAAATAAATTTTCTTTCATTTAAATAAAAAAACTAAATTAAATTTAAAATGCCAGAGTCTGATTCGACACATTTTTCCCAACTTAGACTCCATAGCCCTGCAAAGAACACACCAGACTATTCCAAGTTTATTATACAAGGAAATGCATTTCTTTGTATAATAAAGTTGAAATAGTTAATTACTGGTGTGTTCTTTGTATGATTTGTTCTCTTCAGCAAAATTTTTGCTTATCACTAAAGGGTCTATCAGGAGAACACACAGTAACTTTTAATTTTTATTAATCAAATGATCAGGATTTAACTTTGTTAATTAATCCACCTTTATCATTTGATTATTAATATATCAATATAATTCAAACTTGGTTTTTTATATGACTAACAATTTTATTATTCAATACAAAATTTTCATTAATTTCAAAATTATATTTTGATTATTCATGAAAAATACAGATCTTATAAATACAAAGTGATGTTCATGGCTCATGATTTTTTTGTAACATTTTCTACATTAAATTAATGTATTTTCGTTTTTAGCCTATTGTAATCTGTTGATGTCTATGGAAAGTAGCTAAAACTATTAGTTTGCCCAATACATCTTTCCTTTAATAAATCTAACACAATCTTTTAATTTGGATTTTATTAGATTTATAGTTAGCATAGTTTGGTTATATAGTCAGTTTCAATTATAATTATCATTATGTACACAATTAAGTTCATTAAAAAACAATCTTTAGACCACTAAAAACCTCTTCAGCTTCCTTCAAAGCATGTAAAATGTAGCAAGAATCTGGAAGCTGAAGAGCTTTAGTGGTCTCAAGATATTATGTGTTTCCAGTGCTAGTGAAGAACATTTTGTTACAAAACAATGTTAACAAGCAATTATTTATTGTGACATTGTCACAATGCTGGGCTGCAATTTTTAATCATATTCTTAATTTATTCAATTTAAAATGCATGTTTTCCATTGTAAATTTGTAGTGTCTTGTCCTTGTACTGTACATCATACTTTTCCTGATAGCAGAGTTATGCCAGTCATCTATGTAACTCCATACAGGGAAAAATTTTTTAATTGAATTCACATAACTTCCAGTCTAGACTGGAAGTTCATATATAGTTAAGCATTCTATATCTGATCCTGAATTCCATTTATCTAACACTATTTTTGAGATTAAAGAAAGACAGATGGATAGACAGTCTATGACAGTGGAAATTTATAGATCTACAATTTCTTCAAATTGTAGCCCAACTAAAGTAAAGATTGTATGGACATTTAGACTAATATGCACTCTCACAATAGTTAATTAAAATATTATTGAAATCAATATTATAATACTATATTATATTATATTATTGAAATACTATATTATAAAAAATTTAATATTAATCTTACCAGGTGACGTATTTGATCTTGAAAGATTTGCTCTTACAGGAGGTTCACCATGAAGCATACTTGCTGGATGTATACCTATTGTTCCAATGGAAGGTGACATTATTGAAGGTCGTATGGGTGAAGGATGTAATGAACCAGGAGTACGTGGAGAACAAGGATTAATTAAAGTCTGATCTTGTGTTTGCCAAGCAGAAGGTGAATGCTGCTGATTAGAGGTTAATGTTAGATGAGGACGAGGAAAACATTGAGGAGTAGATGATATTTGATTTGTGGTTACTGTTTGAGAACCTTGTGAAGAGATTAAAGACCCTGGTCCACCAAGTGAATCATCTGGTGGGCCTGATAACACATCAGCTTTCAATCGTTCAAAATCAATATCACTAAGCAGAGCATCTGCATGTGGAGATATTATTCCTTCTTGATTCTGTCGTCTTTGTTCCCTTTTTTCTTGTTCAACTAGATCCTCTAAGAGCAGTGGCTGTTCTTGGAGCAAAGATTTTTCTTGTCCATTAGAAGACAGAACTTGACTAGATGAGAGATTAGCTCTAGTAAGAGACTGATTTGGAAATATACCTCTTGGACTAGTTATTACTTGCTGCTGAACTGACATACTTTGGGGTCTTAAATTATGTGCTTGATAGGGAGGTGGAGGAGGAACATTAGCTGGATATGGTGGTGGTTGAGAAATTCTTAAATGATCAACAAAATGTGTTTGATTTGGGGAGTTATTTTCTTGTTCCCTATGGAGAGATACTTGAGGTTGACCAAATGTTCCTGGAGGAGATGGTGCTATTATTGTTGACTTAATATTTCCATTTCCATGTTGTGAAATCTGCAACTGATCTGATGAAGAAAATGTAAGAACATTTGAAGCAACAGTAGTAGTGACGTTAGTAAATGATACAACAGACTGACAAGTTGTTAAATCATCAGAAGCAATGACAGATGATGATGATGATGAAGTAGAAATTAATTTACATACATTTTTATTTTCACCTTCCTCTATTTTGCTACTTATATTAGAATCAATACTTTCTTCTTCAAAAGTTTCTTCATTCTTTTCCAATTCTCTTTGTTGACTAAATTCTAAAAATTTTGTTTGAAAATCAGCGTTATTTAATTCATTTTGAAGACCAAGTTTTCCTTCTTCATTTTCACTTTGTTTCTTTTTTTCTTCTTCTGCATTAATTTCTTGTTTAATTTCAACATTAACTTTTTTACCTTCTCCAGATCTAGCTTTCATTTCTTCAACTTCCTCATCAAGTTCATCATCTTTGTCATCTAAATCTAAATGCTCATCCAAAATATTGCTTTTTTCACCTTCACCAACAAGTCCTTTATCAAGTTCAGGATCAGCATATTCTAAGATGTTGAAGTCATTACCTAAACCTAATAAACAGAGTTAACAAATTAATGACTATCTTTTTAAGTAGTGTACTAAATATAATAAATATAGCACATTTCTGCACATATAAAAGCATGCTCTTACAGATAGGTCAAAACTGGCATTATATTTTGCAAAGTATCTAAAAAATACTAATTTAAAAAAAAATTTTGTAGATTGAAAGTATTTTTTTTTAATATTGGCTTTCTATCTTTAATAACAGTTACCACAAAGATGTCACTAAATAGTTATTGTAACAGTACTTATACATTTAATTTACATTGACAGTGCTCTTATAAGCCAAAACAAACTGGCATAAATAAAAGCATGATCGTATAAGTGAGGCAAATTTCTCTGTCTATTCAGAAGAATGTTGATTCTTCTGAATAGACAGAGATATGTTGAAAATAATGGTAAATATATAGTCTCATAAATATTATTATATTGCAAAATATTTCATTTTTGTTAAGAAAAATACAACAAAATAAATATATTATGTTTTATCTTGGAGACTGGTTCTATATTTTATCTTTTAATATTTTTAGAAATACAGTTATTTTTATTTATTTTAATATTTAACTATTAATTAATATTGTAATTTCAAACATTTTTAATCTTCCACTGAAAGACATAATTTTCTTATAAAATGTGGAAGCATCATTTTTAAAAATTGGAAATTGTGATGAAATTTTCTCGATTCAGACTTTGATACCTGGAAAACGTCCGATTTTTTCAATTCTGATTAATTGTCCCATCACTAATTACTACTAAAAATTTATAAAGAACAGAAAATACTGTAATATGTAATAGTAATGTTTTATAGATGTATAAAACCTCTGCATATCTTGTTTTAAAGAGTTTCCCTGTAAAAATGTGGCAGTATTTTGCACCATTTTTTCTGTATTTAACTTTCTTAAGACCAGGGTAACGATCTGCCGCACCCCTCTTTGTTATAACAATGTACTAGAGTACCGATTCGTCATTACCCTTCGAAAAATCGATTTTAANATGTATTTATAAATATCGTATTTATAACTACAGATATTAATAAATGTAACGTGATTTTTGTTATATGAATATAACAATAACTTGATTTTTGGTGAATTTTTGAAATAATATAACTTGTTTGACCTATATTGACCTTGGCCCTTCTCAACAATAAACGTAAATACGGGGGCGTGGTACCTGATTCTAAGAAGGTTAATTACAGTCAATCAAACAATCTTAGACTTTTAGTAGTATATAGATTAACTATAAAGAACTATTAAAATCAACAAGAAAAACATTTTTTTGACATTTATTAGAACATATGGATTTTTTATATTCTAAAACTGTAGCATTATCATAATACAATACATTAACAATTTCAAGAATAAAAAGTATAATAGCATTTTTTAATATTTTAAAAATAAACTTTATTTGTAGCTTTATTTTTATTCACTTACCTAAAAGTTCATCATCATCTAATTCTTCATCATCAGCTTCTCCTCCTGTAACAGTCTCCTGTTCAGCAGCTTGCTCTTCAACTTCTTTTACTAAATCTCCAGCAGTAGGTTTTCTTCGGGAGAGTTTATCAGTTGCATCAACTTTATCTGAACGAATATCTATAGGATGCTTTTCAGCATTCTCTGATTGTGAAGAAGAAGAAATAACTGATTCTGATGCTGCTGGAGATGACTGTTTTTCATTATTAGAATCTTGATGTAATAAAGATGGAGTTTGGCTTGTATGACAAATAGTATTTGTTATCTGAGTACTATTTACTGTTCCTGATGAATTCTGAGTTTTTGATACTGTTGTCTTTACTGTAATTGAAGAAATACTTTCTACAACAGGAACTGTGGTAGTTGTATAAGATGCAACATCACTAGGACTAATAATACCTTGACTTGTTGTAACAACAACATTGGGTGGTGAAACATTATTATTATTATGAATATGTGCTGTTCCATGCATAGAAATAATAGTATTGCTAATTGATGGTGTATTTCCCACAGCAGGTTGACCAAACCTTACAGCAGTTTCTATAATAATAAAAAACATTTATTCATTAATGCATTTAATAAAATATTTATTTTTAAATAAAATTATTAAGAATTAATAATAATAACTATTTAATAGCATTAAATATATGTTTTAAAATGTAGAAACCAATTGAATACAGCATCATACTTGCTTATACCATTTATATCAATAATTGAACCATGCATTGCAAATAAATTAAAAATTTTTTGGACCTTAAGTGAGATACTGTTTGTATAGAAAAATTAGATATATTCTGAGTGATATATTTCTGACTGTAATGAGTATTTCATTCCATTTTCAAGTATTTGATTATTAAGTATGTTTCTAATGTAAGGTAATTTTTAAATTATCAAAAAAATATATAAATAAAAAAATATTAAAATATTATTTATTTANTAAGCTACTGGCTTTCACTGTTTATGTTGTCTCTTTCTTGCTTGAAATATTAATTAATGTTTTAGATACAATTTTCATTTTGGAAAGGAAAATTTCTAATTTAAAATAAAGTTCTTCACTTTCTGTCATTTTCATTTGTTTTTTTTTTTTTGTGCATTTTATTGATGTTTGTTCGTTTTAATCTGTTTTGTAAAAGACAAATCCCTAGCGATTAAAATAACTTCTTGTATATATATATATAGAATTGGGCTTAAAATTTAATTAAATTCTCTTTTCCATTTTATATTTTCTTTAAATTTCTTCTTGTTTTACGTATTTACTCCAGACGTTTAATGTCCACCGAGATGTTTAGTTTCTACATTATTTTATTCAATAATTTATTTCTTTAAATTTATTTCGATTCTTTGAAAATTATGAAAGGAAAATACTTTATTCAATAAGTAGGTTTATTCAATAAGTCTGTTAAATGCCATGTAAATTTTTCCTTTATTTTTCAATATGCTCATTAGTTATTTCTATCTAATTTACTATTTTTCTCAATATCATATTTATTAAAAACTTCTAAGTAGAATTCATGTTTTAATTTGACAAATAATATAAATAATTGCTATTGAAAAACGAATTTTTAATCCTTTTTGTATGCAGTTTTGCTATCACTATGAAATTCAAAATGTAAAAATGTTAGAACATCACTTTTTTATCTACATCTAATAATTTCACATTTATTGTTATTGATCATCATCTAAAATTGAGCATTAACTAAAAATATCACTGGTTCTGAATAAAAACATTCTTAACAAATTGCCATCTAATTCCACAAAAATATTTAATATATTTCACATCTTAGTTATCAAACAGTAATGCATCAAAGTGTTTAATGCACTGGTAAATTAAATATTGTTTGAAATTCCTCAATGAATTTATATTGAAAAATGAATTTCAGAACAACAAAATAATTCAGAAATAACCAATCAAAATATTAATAAGATGCTCAATGATAGAAAAAGAAAACCATGGAATAAAATAAAAGGAATCGATAGATATAAATAACAAATAAAACGGCAAAACCGTATTTGGGACAAGACTATGTCTCAGAGACTCGCTACTAAGCAGAATCACTTTGACGCTCAAGGCAGGTCTCATTCTCATTCTCCCATCTTCTTTGGTATCACTGCTTTTGGGTGCGATCATTCAAACTTTGCCAGCCATGACAATGAGGTCGTCCATGATGCATTTTCAATGAAATTAACCTATCCAATTTTGAAATTTCTCTCCGATGTGTGTCGGCCCGGGTTGAATTTTTGTCGCTGCGTAATGAAAATTTCCCGTTTTTGAAAAAAATAATCATGGCTGTTGTATCATCCAAAATTATTTTTTTATTTTGCACAAACAATATACAATTTAACCAAATTATAACATCATCGGATGTAATGACAATCCTAATATAACATCAAATTTTTATCGGTCCTACAATTTTACTGTACTAGATAATGTTAAAAAACCTACTTGTAACGACATAAAACCCTGTACGACTTACTTCTAACTCCAAACCCAAAACAGTGCTTAGTTCAATATACCTTCACTAACAATTTCGAACTTAGTTCTTCTTCAGGCGAATAAAAGAAAATGGGCAGAATCGATGTTATTCAAACATATCTTTTTCAAACGATACTGTGTTTCAGATTTTGTTTGAAAAAGATATGTTTGAATAACATCAATTCTGCCTGTTTTCTTATATTCACCTGAAGAAGAACTAAGTTCGAAACTGTTAGCGAAGGTATATTGAACTAAGCACTGTTTTGGTTTAGAGTTAGAAATAAGTCGTATAGTTTACAGTGTGTATAGATTTGATTATTTATAAAATCCTGTTTTAATGTCAAATTTGAAGCACTCCCAAATTTACAAAATTAGATTCCAAATTTTATTTAACAAAGAAAATACTACGTGTTCAGTCCTAGGGACAAAATCCACTTCCTAGAACGACTGTGGGTAGTACTCTCACCATCTGACTTTGATTTGCCTGTTTGTAGAGAGAGTTGCTATTTTGTATTTTATTTTGATTTAGTTCTCGGTCCCCTGAGTACCTACAAGTCTGGTTTTTTATATGTGCGCACGATTTGGGTAACTAATACTCTGTGCCAAATTGCAACTCTTGACATGCACTCCTTCATACCTCTAAGATGGTAATACAGCAGGCAGTACAATTTTAAAAACAAGACATAGTCTTATCAATAAAGAAAACATCTCTGATATACTATGCTACCTTATATATGTCAATAATATTTTGCAGGTGTATTCCTAAATCACAAAGATTTTATCTATAATCTTGTTGGTAATTGTATTTAATGTGTGCAAAAAGAAGAAAAACACCAGGGGTTGCAGTAATTGAGTTAGTGCCATTGGAGGGTCATAGTGTATGTGAAATTGAGAGAGGTTTTTTTTTATAACAATATAGAAAGTAAAGTTTTTGTAAAGAGACTTAAAGGACTAAATTTGTTTTTCATTTCTTCATAAAAAAAGACATTCAACAAATCCATATAAATAAAAAGCCCTGTTTAAGAAATTATCTTTAAACATATTCTGTGTATAAATACAAAAAAAAATTAAACAGTTTTTATGTTAATAAAATAATATAAATGAATTAATTACCAATTCCAACTTGAGTTGAGGCTTGTTGTAACTGAGGATTTCTCTGATGCAAAATATGCTCATATTGGTCAGATTGTGCATTAGAAAATCCAGTCGACATTCTTGGGCCGGGCATACAAATCTGTCCTGCTGGCCATTGTTGACTCCTAACCTGTAACTGCTGTTGCTGTTGTAACATTAACATGCGAAAACGTGCTTCTTGAGGTCCCCCTCTTAAAGCAATTAAACGCTGCTCAACAACTTGGGAAGGATGCCTAAATGGAATTTCTGAACCTAAATTAAAAATAAATACATTTTATTTTTTATAGCAAATATTTTATATGAAAAACTATAATAAAAATTATTATTATATTCAAATTTTATATTAAAGTAAATTTAATTATATAATTACAAAAGATAAAACAAAAATGATATAATACCTAATAAATTATTTGCAAAAAGCCTATTATTCTGTTTATTACTACTATTTAGTTTATATTATTTATTGACTTCTTTTTTTTTATTATTGTATAAAATATAATAAGTTAATATGTTTTATTAAAATATTCCATTTATACTTTCAAATAATTTGAAACAAACAAGAATTAAATACCAGTAATAATACAACTATAAAAGCATCGTTGTTATTAAAAGATTGTTCTAATAATTTTTGAAAGAAATATTAGAATATAATGCAATTGATTATAATGCATAAAAATACATTTTGATTACAAATGATAAAGGCTTAAATACTAATAATTATTTTTATCCATATTCTGTCACATATTTAACTATATCAGAAAAACTGATATAACTCAATTATGATTTATCAACATTTTATATAATTTTTTTCTTACAGCAAAAAACAAAGATATATTTAAATCATCAATTATTAAATAATTCTTATAAAAATTAATACAAGTTTTAAGTTACTTTTCATATAACAAATATGTACTGGAAATAGAATAAGTTGAAAAATAAACTACACTTATATAAATCCAGCAAAATTTAATAAAATAAAAACGTTTTCAGTCGTTTTTCAACAATCATCCTCAGTTACAAAAATAGAATATTAAATATAGAACATAAAATGCGTTCGAAATAAATACAAAAAATAAAAATTAACGGAAAACGCCCTAGCAGCCCTTTTTCGCTATTTATTTGGTTTGTTTGTTCATTTTTCTTTAGTTCATCTGCTAGGGCGTTTTCTGTTAATTTTTATTTTTTGTATTTATTTCGAATGCATCTTATGTTCTATATTTAATATTCTATTTTTGGTAACTGAGAATGATCGTTGAAAAATGATTGAAAACATTTTTTTTTATTTTATTAAATTTTGTTGGATTTATATCGGTGTAGTTACTTTTCATTCAATTACAGAAGCATAGATATGATTATTATGGCATACTGTAAAATTTTCATACTCAAATAAAAAGAATTATTATAAAATACTGATAAAGTATACTGAAGCAAGAATTAAAAACAAAACAAAAGATTTTATAATAAATAAATAAAAAATTTTTACTTCAGAACAACATACATACAAGGTCTTCCAAAAAGAACCATTTTAAATTATTATAATTATGTTAATTAGAATATGAGAATGTTGTAATGTACATTAAAATATTGGAATACTGTCCAAGTTTCACATTTGCCCATTACAATTTCTTAATGCAAAAACTTGTGTCACGAGGTACACATACAACCAATACTTTCTACACAAATTCTTTCTACACTAGCTATAGCATATCAGTTATCATTCTTCTCACAGCAGTCACAATTCTACAGTTCCTGCAGATTACTCATGTTGCACAATGACGAGTGATTTTGACCTTGTGAACTGCAGAACACAAAATACCTTTTCTATTGTAGAGTCGCTGTTTTCATTTATGGTGCTTCCTACACGCAGTAGAAAACATGTTTGAATGCAAATGGAAGATGAAACACAAACAATTACTCTATTTATTGGTTTACACTGTATACTTCTCAGGTAATAATTAATATAGTTACAGTAATTTAAAATCATAATAGCATTTTTTTGAAAGACCATGTATTAATTGCAAATATAATACACACATTGTAGTGTCACATTATCAGATAACCAAAAGTTCAATTTAATCCTAACATATGCAATTACTAATTTACTAATTGCAAAGATATAATTTATTTATTTTAATATAACTAAAATAAATTTTTAAAAAAATTTATTTTTTTTAAACCTGTACAAAATGTACAGGTGTTTTTAATCAATACATTAAATATGAATTTATTGTAAAAGTTAAAATAAAAAAATAAAATTTACATCAAAATACTAAACATTTATGCTAAATTTACCAGACTGTGGAAAGCGAGCTCTCATTCCAGGTGGATATGGATGACGAAAACCATCTTCATTAGACGAACTGCGAACTAACATATTAGGTGTTCCTAATAAAAAAATTTATATTTCTAAATTTTCTATTAAAATGCAGAATTATTTCTTACAAAATTAATATGCTGGAAAGACATATAGAGATGAGATTTTATTTATAATCAAATTAACTGGTATATTTACAATTAATTTTCCAGCATTCATTCTGTGTTTCAAACAAGTTTTTTAAAGGATAATCTTCAGATTCAACAAACATTATAAATTATACAAATGTATTATACAGTAATCATAAAATGAATTTACCAGAACACATTGAAAATTTATCTCATCTCTAACAGATTGAATCATTCTATTAGCCAATTAGTTAATAAAATAATTCAATACTGTAACCAGTTTTCTGCTAGTTTGTGTAACATTTAGATTTCTATTTTATTAAAATAAAAGTTACAATATATTGATTACAACTATTTTATACCTTATACTATACACCATAATCATTTTCAAATTGATAAAAACACCAGTTGATTCACCCTGAGCAAACATTTTTTGGCACTTTCTAAAGGCCATCATCAGGCTATTGTTTCAAATCAAACAATCATTTTATTACATTGTTTTTCTAATGTAATATATAAAACTATGAAATTTTAAGTGAAATTTCATTGTAGTCCAGTAATAAACTGTTTGTGGACCAGCAATGGTCCACAGACAGTGTGAGAAGCAATGGTCTAAAATATATGTTACATCAAAATACTTGATATTATTATTAGATTGCATATATACAGTATGTATATATATATAATGCATATCTATATACTTACATACACTAAAATTAATCAAAATTCAAAAAACAGATACATAATAAGAATAGTTTTCTATTTGAAAACTCTAAAAAGTTTGAACATAGAACAGATGAAGACTGTGAAACAAAGAATTCTTAAAGTATAAAGTTTTAATTTAGTTATCCCTCTATGAAAATTCTCATTAAATCACCTAAGATGCTATTTAGAAATTATGTTTAGATCAATGAAATAATGTCTGGAGAAACACCGATCTATTATTATGAGTTATAAAGAATAAATAGCACTATTAGAGTTATATGAACAAATCATAGATCGTCTAAGATGCCATCAGGTTCATTAAAGAAATGCATCCAATACTTTATATCCTAAAATATTTTTTCTATGTATTTTAAAACTAATTGAAGTTTTGAATGTTTAAAACTAAATTTTATAATGTTTTTGGATTGAAAACTTTATCCTCAAAAACACACCAATAAATTTGAGAGAGAGTCATAATTTTAACCAGAGCAGTAATTTTGATATAAAAATCAATATTTGTATTTATTCTAATATTTGTTAAAAACTCAAATTCAACAAGAATGTTCATAAAATCTTATCTTTGACATTGCTTCCATTTTAAATAATACATTGTCCATTGGATTCAATTCATTCGAGAAAATTAGCAGAAAATTTCAGATTGGACAATGACAAGTTTCTCAACTGATTTTACCAAATTTGGGCAAGAGTCAAGTCTCCAGCAGGGGATAAAAAGGGATCATTTGAAAAAGAAGAGATTCTTTCCCTCTCCAAAAATCACAGAAAATTCCTCTACTACTGATAGTGATGTACTACCTGGATTTTCAATAGTAGTGCACTCAAATCTCTCTCATAATTCGAGAAGGTATTTATCTTCTAACACAAACTAATTATAATCTCTCTCCTGATCAGACTTAGTTAAATTAATAGGAAATGTGCATGAATTATCAATTTGTTAATTATTTGTTTATGCTTGTTATTTTATTTTTAGCTTTAATATAACTTGTTAGTTGAGTGAATCATTTCTGGGCTGTTTATCTCTCAACTACCACATGACCACTTGTGCTCAAAATAGTTTCCTGTGTCCCAAAGAAAATACAGGTGGTTTCAGACATCCTGACACAGGGCAACACAATTTTTTCTTGTCACATTTGCAATATATACATATATATAGAAATGAATTATTAATTCAATAAAAATCTCTTTATTGTAATTATATATATTGTTATTGTTCATTTAACATTAGCACATGCCAAAACATGTAAGCTAAAGTATACTTATATAACTTTGTTTATTCGGATCAGAATTTTTGTTATAGTTATCATTATATTCAGATAAATAGGCATTTTTAAGCTAACTTTTTGCACTACAGTATCAACCTCAATATATAAATGATAACAAGCAATTACTATCAATCTTAACCAATACTTTAAAGGTTAAATGTTTTCACCATTTAAATAATTATAAGCTTAAAGTACAATAGTTCAAGCTGCTCATATTTCTTACATGCTGGATGAATTATTGTTAATTAATACTTGTTCAAGATATACATTTTTTAAAATGCTTTAACATGTCCTTATAATGTCAGACTCCACAGAATTTTCACTAATCATAAGCTTATTTACCTATTCTGCTTAATGATATCATCAGCATAGGAGAGTCGCAAAATAACAACAACAAGCAGATATAGTATAATGTCAATTATCCAAAAATCAATTTCAGAGCATATTAATTCCAAAAATGATGAAGTTTTTACATAATAACAATTGTTGGCCATGTCCAGTAGGTCTACTATTGAGCTACATTGCTATCAACATTAGTGTCAGATTTTATTTATTACAGATAAAACACAAAAGCATGATTAATTTAATGATCACAGGCTTCTAATGCATTAAATTAAAAGCTTTACTGTGCATAGACACAGTGACAGATTTTATGCATTAGAAACAGCATTTACATAATTATAAATGCAAACTTAAATAGATTTTTCAACTTTTATAATAATCAAGGAAGACATTGATTTGCAGCATTAAAAATGGAAAAAGAAAACTACATAAAACAAGGTAAAATTACAAACTTTTAAAAAAAAGTATTGTAATAAATAGTTTTTATGTGTTTAATATTAATTTTTTTATTATATACTTTTGACTTTGAATTCAAAGTTTCATCAATACATTTCCAGATTTCAATAAAATAGTAGTGCTTGTTTTTAATAAAGCACACAAAATTTTTTCATTATTTCTTATCATTTGTATATAATAAATTGCAATGCCTTAACCTTTATTGTTGTACTAGAAAAAACTAATATTTATACTTTACTTAATATATTTATTGTGTTTTTTACTCTACCAAGTGTGATTGGTGATCCAAAATTGCTCTGCTCCAATTATTTCAGATAAACAATTCGATCACACATGAAAATCAAAACAAAAAAATTTCTAAAAATTTACTATAATCAATATGTTTTCTAACAAAAATTGCTGCCATATGGTTTACAATGGTTAAATTATTTTAAAAATTACACATACACACAAATTACATAGAACTATAAATCATAAATGTAATTATTATAGATAACATCCAATAAATATAGGAACAAGTAATACCAAAACCAGTCTATAAATTAACAATATTCAGATAAACAAACACACAACTTTTCCTACATAATATAGTAATTATAATATAACAGATAAATTAAATCAACTCTAAGTGCTGTAGTTTAACTCATTACATTTTCATTACCAATTCAATGAAAGCAAAAAAACTTTTATAATCTTTAATTAATTATCTGATATAATATAATGAATCTTTAAATTCAAAAATTCTCCATTACTTTCAAATCTTAATTTCTTATAGCTGTTAAAGTAAATGTTTTTTACTTTCCATTTTATCAGAACTTCTTTAGAGATGATAACTGTAATATGCTTACATCCAATTTATGCATACAAATTCAAATAAAAAAATTTAGTTTTTAATTGTAAAATGATCTATTTGTATTTCTATATGTTATGAGGATTAATTATTAGCTTCTCAAATATAGAACATATTCTACTTTTTCTAATTATACCTCCTCCATTTTATCATTTGGAAACTATAAAAAATTAAGTGATTTTTCAATATGTTTCTATTCTCCTACTAATCTTTTCACTTTTTCAAAATTCTTTCTTAACATATTTGCTATTTTTTAATGTAAAAAGTTCCATGTTTTTCTCAGGTTTAACATCAAAGGTTCCCAATTTACTAATGATCAGTGTGTATTTCATTTTAATGATAAAACAATTTCTAGAATATAATAAAATATATTTTTTTTATTCAAGTATTCTCTCCAGAGATTTTGACCAGAAGAGTGGAGGAGGAGTTGCTTGGTCAAGCAAATAATAATAATAATATTTGGTGAACCCATCAACTCCTCCTGTGCAGTAATTGAACAAACAGTTTGAATTATGAACAAATCAGACAACAAACACATATTTGTATAACAAACACCTCACAGAACAACACAAGAAGAAGCAACTTAAAATAATGAATACCAATTGGTCTTCCCTTGTCTCCGGGTAACAACTCAAAATCTTTTGGAGTGTGGGAGACGTCACCATCAACGCTCAACCCAGTATATACTGATTGAATAGTATTTCTCTGAACTTTGAAACTTTCCCTTGTAATTCCAGCCTGTTGTTTATTTTTCTGACAGAAAGAATTCTTTTATAGTATTTGTGAGACTGTCGGGCAGACACTTGTTAAGTTTGTGTTGGTTTTTATTTTTGAAAGGTGAGAGTATAATAGCAAAGGTAGAGAGTGGACAGAAAATGCCTAATGTTGTTGGGCAGTATGATTTGAACAGGTCTACAGTAGGTTACAGTTCAATCTTATTTAAGAAAAATACTGTATAATCAAGAAGATTATTCCTTTAGCTGCTTGTGTCTTACAAGCAGCTAAAGGAATAATAAAAATCACATCTGAGAAATAAAAAACATTAAAGAGCTCATAATGGAACCTGAAACTAATCTGATGATAGAAGAACACCAAGAACTCTTAAATAAAGAACACTAAGAAACTCAGCGAGATATGTTTTCTTTTGAAAAAGAGGATTAATGCCGGTATCTGCTATTAAACATCTTTTGAAGTAGTGGAAGGATGTCAGAACAACAGTCTTAGAATGGCATCCAAACCAGATTGAGGCTTGAGGATTTCTACAATTGCAATGCTATTAATTATTTATGAAAAATCCTGAAGAAGAGAGAAAAGCAATTGACATTAGACAGATTCTTTAATGCCCCACAAACAGCAAAAAACATCAATGATAAAAATGCAAGATTGTGTATATATGTATTTTTATTATTACATATAAATAAACTTAGTAAAAAAGTATATATTTTTTTTTTTTTTCAGTCTCCAGAAAGAATTAATCAAATTCCCATGAAAATCTAAGATAAATCTATAATTGGTTAACAAACAACTCTGGTAGCAAACATGGTCTTCAAACAGATAATATTCATTAACTGATCGCCCACTGTAATTGGGTCAGTGTGTGTGTCTGTATTTAATATAGTGGTCTTCTGTAGTGTGATGTACGTGTTTCTATTCAACTGTAATGTTCCCAGGCTTTTGTGTAGTACATGTAGTAGAACACCTGAAGAGGAGAGGATGACAGGTACAAGCATTCTATCCATCCTCTAAAGCAGTGTTCTGCAAGCAGTGTGCAGTCACAAGGTGTAAGGTGTGACATGAACTTTTACATATTCTATTAATTTCAAGCTTTATTTATATATTTTTATCACAATTGCTGTGCTTCTTATGCTTGTATTTTAAGTGTTATCTCATAAGTGCCGCAACACTTATGAAATAAGATGAGGTTCATTTATTCTTTATTACAAGCCATGCATTTTTTATGTATTTTAAGAAATTAAATGTAAAATAAATTAGCTTACGGGTGTTGATGTCTGTTTAATAATAATAATAATAATAATAGGTTAGTGGCATTACGTAAATCTATTAATAGTATCGTATCATACGCTTTTGAGGGAGATAACATTTTGGTGTGCCATGTTGAGACATGTCGAGTCATGGGTGTGCCGTGAATAGAAAAAGCTTGCAAAACACTGCTCTAAAGATGCCATATTTCCTGGGCATGTTCTGTGTACTATCCTTTGCATACCTTTTTTTCTCATATCTTCCCATTCAGATCTAATTTAAACTATTAAAAAAATCAAACGGATAATTTGAAAAACGTTTTTATTTCAAAGCACTTTTCCTTTGAAAACAGTAATGTTATGGACGACATTAAGCATATACTTTCATGTTCTAACTTATATTATTACATTCAAGCACATATTTTCATATTTTTTATATATATTTTCTATAATATTATACTATATAAAATTCTATTATAACATCCTAAAAATCT